CTATTTCGGGAATAAAAACATAGTAATCCTATTTTGAAATTCCAAACTCCATTTACTCATATTTTGGGAATCTCCCATCTATGAGACTATGATTACAATTAAAAATTTCTCTAGTTTTTACTTTAGTTATGACAGTTAGTTTTATATTCACATGTAGTGAGTGTTGGGTTAATGGCCCAGTATAGGGGCCGGCCCATCACCCCCCGGCCAGATGGACGTCCATACAAAGGCAGGTGGATCAACCTCCAGGCGATCATAAACGGCGACGAACGTCGCCTCCAAAGGACATTAACATTTGGGGCCAGCCCAATCCATGTGACAAATCATCTAATTAAGGGCCAGGAGACGAACGGCCCATTACCCTTCGCAACATTACCAGAAGCAGGCCCCCTTATCCGGATTGGACGAACGTCTCCACAACTAGGCGGGAAACCCAGATTCTGGCGGGAAGCGCATTTAATGCCGGAGATTTGGTGGTTGGGACATCAGTCATACACAAACCTCCACGTCAGCGTAGCCAGCTATCCACTGGTAGTATAAATAACATCATTTATTTCATTGTAAAGGGTTGACAACTTACTATTCTTAGCACTCTAGCTTATAGCATCCTTACTCGCAACTCTTCTACTGCCTTGTAAGACGAACGGCCGACGAGCCTTAGCAAGAGCATTGTATTAGGGAGTTATTAGCTGATTAATAATACCTAATCTCTTACTTGCTACATACTGTTTCTTAATCCATCTCACTTGTTAATTGGGCTAGTTTATTCACATTTCACACTCCACTCGAAACTCTTGGGCTTACGTGTTAGACCCGAGGGTTGAAGGAATAAACCTCGAGTGAATTGAAATTTAATTGAACTCGTTGTGAATAGAAGTACGATTATGGTTAATTTATGAGAGAAGAAAATACATTTAAATTTATCCCTTGCCCAGCGTCAGCCGTCAAGTGCATGGTGGCCTCACAAACTTGGGTTCCAACTTTTTTGTATGCTTTTGTATACAAAGTAAAGACGCCCATTTTTTTTACCACAAATTGATTAATCCACAGCTGTGCAGCTCACATGAAAGCAACAAGTTAATTAAAAAAAGAAAAAGCAAATTTTAATCTCACACAAAACAGACTTTGTACACTCACCCCAGTGTCTCTTGTGATCTTCCTTGTCAACATTATTGTTGTTATTACATGTGATTTTCAACCTCAAAAGTCAGATGATGAAGTGAACATCAATGAATACAACTCTCTCTTTATTTCTCTTCCTATAAATAGAACATCTCTTCCTCTCACCATATCACTCATCATCCACATATTTTAGGTACATTAAAATATGTATGTTTCATCTGCTAACATGAAAATATACTCGGTTTTCATTGTCATTCTACTAACACAGGTACATAATCTTCATTGGCTATGCATTCTTCTTTTGGGGTCTGTTTAGAACTCCAAAATAATTAATTGGGAGAGAATATAGGAAACAGTAGATGAGAATACAAGAAGTAAAGATGATTTCCAAGTAGTGGTGGAGTCAGGGGAGAGGCGGAAGGTCCTCCATCCCCTCCGTCCCGTTAAGATTTGTTGCGTTTTACCTTTACGATCTGTCCCACTAAAATTATCTCATATCAAATTTGGTAAAATTTGTGTGACCCTAAATTTTTCTTATTTTATGAATTCAATATCAATCATATAAACAACTTTTTATTGATTTGCGTGTCACCCTCTCTTGTCTCGGGAGTATAAAAAGATACTTAAGTATGAACCTCTGTCGCCCCCTAATACTAATTCTCTAGCTCTGCAACTTAACGGCATATGTACTCGAACTCGGTAAATTTATTTTGGTTAGCTATTCAAACCTATTGTATTCATTTACTTATTCTTACTCCGTATCATATGTACGAAGTATGCAAAATGTAAAATAATTAATCACTTTTCATTTTTTTGTTTGCAATTTGGAAGGGTTAGCGAACATAAACAAATAAACATCCCTTAGTTTTCAAAGTACACATCAAATTTTTATGATAAAAAACCGGCGTTGCATGTAATGATGTAATCAGTGGCGGAGCCAGAAAAACGGGTCAGGGGGGTCGAAAATCAACTATGTACAAAATGAAAATGGTACATCCTTTTTAGACAATGTTCGAATTGAATGTTTCATTTGTAGTTTAGATAAATAACCATTGGTAAGCAATAAGATATATTGTCTTTGTTCTGTTTCTGAATCATGTTACGTAACTAATGAATTAATTATATGTTATTCATAAAGTTTGGGAAAATAATCAATATTATGCATCAAATTTTGGTGATTTTACGTTTACATAGTGCTGATTTTCCAGAAGTCATAACTTTTTACTCGTAATGAGTTACGGGGGTCAAAATATATCAAATCGAAGGTATTTCGGAGCTCTATACTCTCAAACTTTCAGCGGGGTCGACTGACCCCCTTGACCCCCCTTGGCTCCGCCCCTGGATGTAATATCACATTTATCGCATGTAATGATAATATCGTACTCGTGTCATATTATATACAATGAACTTTTGGTGATATATACATTAATTAATTCATGGAAATCAATTAATTAATACAAGCTCAACTTAAAGGGCGGCTACGCTACGATTATTCGGTTTATAGACTAAATAGTAATTCCCATTTTTATATACCTTTTTAGACTAATTAGTTGATTTTTATAATATGCTTAGGCTTTAGGGGAGGCTTTGAACTTGGACGACACTGATAATTCCGCAACTCATGTAAGAACTTCATGCTCTCTGTACTTTGATGACTAATTGTGCATTACTGCTCTCACTAATTAATTTACCTTTTTAAATTTGTTGTTTCAAACACTATTCTAAAAATCATTTTAGGCGTCCGACTAGTCCCCGCCTAGGCGCTAGGCGATGGCCGGAAGTGTCGATTTTCGTCTATGTGTCCCGACTAATTGACTGCCGTCTGGGTGAATTAGTTGGGCCACTTATGAGACCTAGTTGCCCGTTCAGAGCACCTAATCGGCCGCCTAGACCGTCTAGATTTGTCAAACATTACTTTACTTTTTAATTTTATTTTTTTAGGGATATAACTTTCACTTTAGCCACAGATATAAAGAAATGAAATTGTAAATTAAGATAAAAACTGTGTGTGCGCACGCTTGTATACTTCGTTAAATGGTTAATTATCATATACTGATATACTTCGTATTATTAAATATGATAATTTTATGATTCATGTTTGTTAATGTGTGTATTATATTACTTATTATATATATGCAAAAACATCGACAAAAATACATTTTTTGTGTCCCCGACTAGGCGTCAGCTCAGTGGCCTAGGCCCTAGGCGGCTAGGCGCTGTTGGGCATGCACCCGACTAGTGTCTAACGCCTTTTGGAACATTGATTGCAAATAGCTATGATATTGAACATACCTATGAAGGATTTTTGCAAATATAATCCGAGTGTCTGTAACTATTATATTATGTAATATTTGGGTACTAAGATTTACAGTTTTGTATATGATCTATTATTTAATTGCTTTCTGTTTTCACTTTTCATTGCTTTTCTGGCTCAATTTTTTTGGCAACCAGGTAAATGAAGCCAACACAGGAGACCTTCAACAAAACAGCCATTCTCCTCCAACAATAAGTATACTTTTCAACCTTTTATAAACAATCCATTAACTTGATATATGCATTAGTTTGATACTCATCAAACTAGTACTGTATTACTTTGATAGTCATTATTCTTACCAGGGGTTTTAAAACTTAATATATTTCCCCTTCAAAATTTCTTTCATGTATATAATTTTCTCTAACCTTTTTTAGGTTAGAAAAGGACTTGATTTACTTATATTTTTCTAGACTAGATATACAGATGTGCATATTATACAAATTTAAATGTATATGCATATTATATTGTTTAGTAAGGTCATGTTATAGAATAGAATAGACGAGCAAAATTCAACCCAAGAGGACCAAGGTGTAACCAGAAACATAAATTGTGCAGATTGTGGTTATGCATGCTCAAGAAGATGTAGGGAAGCGTCAAGACAGAAGATGTGCAACAGGGCATGCAAGACCTGTTGCCAGAGATGCAATTGCGTCCCTCCCGGAACTTACGGCAATCACCAACTTTGCCCTTGCTATGCCCTCCTTAGGACTCACCACAACCGCCCCAAGTGCCCATAATTACTTCTTATATGATCTACTTGTGCTACACACAACACACACATGTCGAAATCCATCTCAAATAAGATATATTTTCCAAAAAGATCATTGAAGTTATCAATTCAAGTTGGGTTATATGAGCTTCATTGAAGGGGTCAGTTTGGTATGTTACATATTGTGTCAACATATGTATACTTGTAATAAAAGAATCATTTCCATATTGTGATATTATATTTGTTTAAGGTATTCACTTATAGATGATGCTTTATATGTTTTCAATGTATTTGTGACTCGAAACTGTGTTTATCATTTTGCTTTAACTCTTTGTGTTTCAACTATTTGAAATTGAATTTTAGCCTAGCACCTTGCGGTGTGATGGTATTATATTACCTTCCGATGTTGTGGTCATAAGTTTGAATCACATTACAATCAAACTTGACAATATTATTGAATATATACTATATCTAGGTTACAGTGTATGTATTCCAAAATGGTAAGCACTTCACTGATCTCATAAAAATTACTCGCAAACAAGAATGGTGTAAAAAAGAGCACCCATAAACACACATATCTACAGATTGAAATGATATAATGATGGATGATAAGAGTGATCGAACGAGCCAATTAAAACCTGGACCAACAGCGTGTACATTTGGCGACACAATCTCCCTTGCAGTCAACATTGAAACCCAACACCTTGGGGTTGCGAAGGAGGAGGTTTTTTAAAGATTTACCTTCAATCCCCCATTGCTTTGCCAAAACTTGCACATTGTTCTTCAATTCTTCCTCAAGTCTACATCCAAGAACCTCCGGAAACTTCTTAAGAACTTTGCAGATGTCATCATCTGTGAGGTTCAAATTCATCCTTAGGTAATTTAAGGTTTCATTCACGGCTTCAAGTCGTGGAATCTCTTTCTTCCGTTCGTCATACCAATATGGTGTATGGATATGTCCAAATGCTTTTCCAAGTATCTTGTCTTCTTCCTCGGCACTGAATTTGAATGACGAGAAAGCTTGTCTGCAAGAATCCCACTCTTTCTTTTCGTCATCATTGAACATTAGGTCATGATTCGGATGATCAATTGAATGCATTTTCCATTTCTTGGATTTAACGCACGCACCAAGTATGCTCGGAGCTGCTCTTGCGCTAACCAAATAACCATGCTGCCATACACAACAAACCAAAAGCTCATTTAAGAAATCAATATAAAGTTGTTAAAAATTAAGGTAGCAAGCAAATAAAATAATTCAGTATAAACTATAAAGTGTAGGCAGTCTGTTTCCCTCTTGAGGTTCAAACTTCAATGTTGCAGTGATTTTGCACAGGAGTTAGCTAATAAAATAAGGCTGCAACCTAATTTCTGTACACTTGCAAAAAGTAAAGTGCACGCTTAATAAAAAAAGAAAAAATAGTTGGCAGAAACCTAAAGTTCAACCAAAATTTTAAATACCTAAAATGCAACATATAGTTGGGAAACGAGTTACAGTCAAATCGAAATTTAGATAATGAGAGGCAATTCAACGAGATGGAGAAAAAAGAAACCAGACTCACCGAAGGGATGCCAATTGATATATGATTACATGTCCCCGATCGAAGCATCCCTAACTACCTAAAGATAAGGTTTAGATACATATGTTATGAATGGGTCTTATAGAAGTACAATAAGAAGCCAAAGTGTGATGATATCCCTTAAGTATATTCTCCCAGATCTAGTTATTACTAGAAATAAGAAGGAAATCCAAAGTAAAAGTATCATCTAGTATTTAACTGTGCTGAAGAGTGAAAGGTGAATTATTAAAGTGGGATACATGACATAAAAGGTTAGATCACCATACTTAGAATTGTATGTTGCCCTATGTTTCATCCCACCATAACCCTAATGGGTCAAATGTATATTTAAGCACTCACATAAAAAGATAACACCGAGCTAGGGATCATAGTGACCCAGTTGATTGCAGAGGCAAGACTCATCCCCACTGAGCAAAAGGAGCTATTGTTTTGACGCACAACTCCCACACAGGCACACAGGCACCATTTGATTGAACCCTTGATTGTAGTTCCAAATTTACAGCTCTAGAACCAACCAAGCTACCCATGTGGGAAAAAACTGGTTTTAACAAGATTCGAACTCCTATGGTTCGGGAGAGAATGCGAAATCCGAACCACTCGACCATAGCAGTCTGCTTTACCCTCAGAATGGGTGGTTTTAGTACTTGAACAACTCATTATGTAAGAATGTGGACTTGCAAGAACTTTTTTACTCAACACCCATTCACAATTTTATATTGCTCAACCTTAAGAATCCAACTGGGTTACTCAAAATTTGGAGTGATATTAAGGCTGTAGCAACGTATCTCCAATCAGACTAAGAAAATACATTAATAGAAAATGGAATAGGGGAAACAATACTTCCTAAACAAGTAGCAGTAGGGGTTTGAGATATAGCAAATTTAGGTGAGGTTCCTCTAGTCCATAACGAGGTGTCACTAACGGACTAAACAATCCTCGCGAGTGGGGATCCGGCCGGCCAATCTCGGCATTACCAGTAGATACCTAAATCCTTCCCCACATGAAAAAAGAGAAATGAATCATTCGTAATTGATCCAATTCAATTCAATGTAAGTTCAATCAGCAGTTACATTAACAAAAGGCTTAAAGTGATTCAACCAGTTTCACAGATTTATGAACAGAGAAGCTTCGGATAGAAATAAAACTAACAACGAAGTACTCCGTATATACAAAGCTGAAGCTCCTAGCCTGCTAAGTTGAGTGGGCGTCGGGGGGATCAAGCAAAATCTAATTAGATTTATCTTTGGTACTTGCGTGTGTTGAAGTTTTGTTATGAAAAAAATACTACTCGTAGTATAAACAGAAAAAACATAAAAAGAGAAAAAACATAAAAGAATACGATAGTACGGATATGAAATTGTACACGAACTTATTAAGAATGTGATTATTTTATTAAGAAAAGAGACATTTTCTTATTGATAAAATTTAGATATGAGATAAAATATTGAATCTACATTTAGATATTAATTTAGCATAAATAAATAGATCTACACAAATATTAAATACAACATTTGCCCCATTGAGATCTCGATTTGTGCTATTTAAAAAAAAAACAAGAAGATATGTGCTATTATTAAAAAAGGTTTTATGTGATTAATACAAATTGGAAAAGAAGAGATAATGTAAGAATGATTTAGAGCTACAAAAATATTATAATATTTGGAGCTACACAAACTAGTGAATGAAAAAAATGTGTGAGAAAATCAATGAAATGGAGGGATTAACAATTAGTGGCATACCATTGTTCCAAAGTGTTCACATGAACGTCCAAAATTTAAAACACATGCAAGTATATTTGTTAAAATTAAATATAAGTATATTTACTCTTCTTTAAAATTTTAATTGTAAAAATTATAAAACTCAGAGTAATGAAGCATCTGCATTTAATACCACGTCACATCCGCCAACCGCATTCAATGCGGTGGACGTACCACTGCCGGTGCCAACCGGCTGATGTGACCCTTCGGCCGTTGGATTACCGACACGTGTCCCCTCATCGCATTTATTGCTGCTATAAATAGCAGCCCTTATTCACCTTGTAAACCACGCTGAGTTCATTTAATAAATCGACTCTCTCTCCTCCTATTTTGCTCTGACTTCTCTATAGTTATTCCCGCAATACCCCCTCGGATAAGATACCCCCCGGGTAGACTATCCATCATTTGGTGCTCTCGTTGAGAGGTCTGAACTATCAAGTAAGAAACCCTCCCCCTCTACCAGACACAAAACACTTACCAAAAATGGGAAGAACCACCCGTGCCCAGTCCAAAACCCTTGAGGAGAACCACGTAGCCCCCGGCGAAACTAACGGGACTGAGGCCTCCAACAGGCTCTTAGTACCCGAGGGTGGTATCATCCTCGAATTAGAGCAAGCCACCGCTGACCTACGTCAGCAGCTGCAGAAGAACACCCCTGATGCCCGCATTGGCCTTGATAATCGAAGGAGGGATCGGAGTGAGAACCAAGTTCCTCCTCCGGCCTCGGCCATCGATCTTCAGGCTGCTTTTGCGGCCTTTGTTCAAAGCATGGCTCTCAATTCAGGAGCCCTCGCCTCTCAGGCACCCCTCCAGCCCTACGCTGGAGGAAATGTTATTCAATTACCACCGCTCCCACCTCTGTTCAACAATCCTCCCCCGGGGATTGGAAACGCCGAGGGGGTCATGGCGCAGGATACCGCCTCCCAAGAGGCCCAATCCAGGGATAAGCGCCCCACAATGAAGGAAAAACCCCGAACTTCTGTACTTGAGAGGCTGGGGGGAGCTCCCGGACGCCGAGGGGTCCAAGACCGCCTCGGCAAGCAGGAATTCAGCAGGCCCCAGGAGAGTGGTGCCTCCGCTTCGGGAGCCGAGGGCGTGCCCCCCCCCCCCCCCCCCCCGAAGCAAAGGCAAAGCCCTTCTCCACGCCGATGACGCCAGACACCAGATCAATCAGGCGCAATCCTTCCGGGCCAACTCCCAAGGGGTTGCCCCGAAGGATCCCAAGGACGAAATTGTTGAAGCCCTCCTCCGTCAACTCGAGGAGAATCGTCAGGCGCCCCCGACGGCTTCCACGGCGAGGCCAGATCCAGAGTACGCCGACCTCCGGGCGCAAGTGGAGGAAATGAAGCGTAAGCTTGCCGAAGGCTCAGGCGAGCCCCTCATCCAACTCCGCACTAGGACGCCTTTCACCCCAAGGGTGCTGGCGGCCAAAATCCCCCATAAATATCGGGGGCAGCCCATCAAACCATACGAGAGGAAAACAGATCCCCAAGAACACTACAGCAGGTATCAGAACAGTATGATGATGATGGGGGCCTCGGATGAGTACTTATGCCGCTGGTTCCTTTCCACCTTGGAGGGGCCCGCGTATGAGTGGTTCAACCGATTGCCCGAAGGGAGCATTGATTCTTGGCAAGAACTTGCCCACCGCTTCCTTACGCAGTTTGCAGGGAGGCACCGCTCGAAGAAACACTTTTCCCACCTTCTAAACGTGAGACAACAGAAGGAGGAAACCCTTCGGAGTTTCCTGGAACGCTGGAGGCAGGCCTCCCTCGAGGTCGAAGGCGCTGACGACAGGACACTAACGGCCCTCTTCCACACCGTCCTCCGCAACGGTAACTTCTCTCGGAGCCTTATCACTGACCCCCCCCCCCCCCCCCCCCCGCGATTATACAAAGGCCCTTCAGCGGGGGGACCGATATGCCGAAGCAGAAGAGATCGAGAAGGACCGCCGCAACACGGATCCTTCTCAGAAGAATGAAGGCATGAATCGGCCCGGAGGACCTCCCCCTCCGGCCAACCGCGAGGCTCAATATAATGATCGCCCCCGAGGTGGCCAAGCCAGAACCGGGGGCGGTTACAAAAACAACCCGAAGGCATGGGCGCAACCCGTCCTCCTTGAGCACCCACGCACTCCCTTGACGCATCCCGTCAGCGTCATTCTTGATCATGCAGAAGAGCGGGGGCTCGTCGAGCGAGATTCCCGTACACCCCTCGAGATCTACGCCATTGGCCCTGATGAGCCATATTGCCGCTTTCACCTCCACCATGGGCACAAAACCGACGACTGCCACCAGCTGAAAAACGCAATTGAGAGGCTGATACAGGCGGGCCACTTATCTCAGTTTATCAGGGGCCCTCCTCCCCAGGGCCCCCCCCTCATCATCAAGGGCCTCCGCCGAAGGCAAACAAATGGGTGAACCCCAACACCATCCCCTTGGGGAACCCACAGGGGAAGAAACGTGAAATTGGGGGCCTCGAAGATGAGGGAGAAGGCTCCCATCAACAATACAAGCGCCACGTCCACATGATTAATGGTGGCAACACTGGTGGAGACTCCACCAGCCAGCGAAAGAAGTGGGCTCAATCCCTCTACGTTGGGGAAGTCAATCACGTGCCCCCAACTAAAAGGCCGAGGGCGGATCCAATCTTCTTCACAGATGTGGACCTCCCCTCGGGTTCTCTGCCGCATAGGGATGCCCTCGTCATCCGCACTGAGATCAATGACGCCATCATCCACCGGACTTACGTCGACACGGGGAGTACGGTCAACGTCATGTATCTCAGCACTTTTCAAGAGTTGGGACTCGACAGGGGGTCCCTTCGACACATCAACACCCCCCTCTCCGGATTCACGGGGGACAGCATCGACGCCGAGGGCGTCATCACACTCATGGTCGAATTCGGCGACGGATCCCATAGAGCCAAGCTCGAAGTGGAGTTCGTCGTCGTCAACCTCGACTGCGCACATAACATCATCCTCGGCCGGCCTGCCCTCGAAGATTTGGAGGCTGTCATTTCCATGAGGCACCTCTGCCTCAAGTTCCCCACACCTACCGGCATCGGCTACTCAAGGGGGAATCAGAAGCTCTCCAGGGCCTGCTACCTTCAACTTACCAGGAAGGTTAGTAAAACTGAATTCCGAGTTGACACCATCACCACCAAGGCCTTGGAGGAAGAAGAAGGCAGGCCGAGGGCTGAGCCTGCCGAGGAGACCGAAGACTTGATACTCGATCCGGCCAAGCCGGAGAGAGTCCTGAAGATTGGAGCCAAGCTCCCCGAAGACTTGAAGGCTGGCATCACCAAGGCCCTCCGCGCCTACTCCATTGTTTTTGCATGGGGGCCGGAGGATATGCCAGGAATTGACCGAAGGGTTATCACCCACCGCCTGGCGGTGGACCCTTCGGCCAAACCGGTACAGCAGCGGAGGAGACCCCTCTCGGCCGAGAGAAGGGAGTTCGTGAAAAAAGAGGTATCTATGCTCCTCTCCATCGAGCACATTAAGGAGGTGAAATACCCTTCTTGGTTGGCAAACGTAGTCCTCGCACAGAAGCCCCCTACCTTCCGTATGTGCGTGGACTACACGGATCTGAATAAGGCGTGCCCCATGGACCCCTTCCCACTGCCAAGCATTGATCAACTGGTAGATGAGACCGCGGGATGTGAAATCATGTCATTCCTCGATGCATTCCGCGGATATCATCAAATCTACATGCATGAGGAGGACGCCGAAAAAACTGCCTTCATGACACCCGAAGGCATCTTCTGCTATCTTGTGATGGCCTTCAGGCTAAAAAATTCAGGCGCCACCTACACACGCATGGTGGCTAGGGTTTTTCAAGCTGTCCTAGGACGCACCATGGAGGCTTACGTTGACGACATGATCGTCAAAAGCAAGAAGGCCGGCACCCACGCTGAGGATCTCCGGGAGATCTTCGCCATCATGCAAAAATTCAACCTCCGGCTAAATCCGAAGAAATGCACCTTCGGCGTACAAGGAGGGAAATTCTTGGGCTACATGGTCAGCCGAAGGGGCATTGAGGCCAACCCCGAGAAAATTCAGGCCATCGTCGACATGGAGCCTCCACGCAACGTGGAAGAAGTTCAGCGGCTGACGGGTCGCCTGGCAGCCCTCAACCGTTTCCTCTCCAAGTCAGCCGAGAGGGCCCTCCCCTTCTTCCAAATCATGAGGAAGACGGCGGGTTTTCAGTGGACATCCGAATGTCAAGAGGCCTTCGACGAACTCAAGAAGTACCTCTCCTCTCCCCCAGTGCTCTCCAAACCAAAGGTGGGGGAGACTTTATACTTATATCTCGGTGTTAGCCCTGCGGCTATCAGCTCAGTACTAATCCGAGAGGAAGACGGCATCCAACACGCCATCTTCTACGTCAGCAAAACCCTCCGGGAGGCCGAACTCAGGTATTCTCCCGTCGAGAAGACGGTGCTAGCCATCGTTTGGACCGTCAAGAAGCTTGGCCACTACTTTCAAGCTCACCCGGTCCAAGTGCTCA